TATAATTGTTCTAATTTGATGGGGAAGAAAAGTCAAGCATCATTCCTAATTCCATCTCTTACTCTTATTCTATTTATAACTGGGTGGTCCAATTAAGTCAGGAAATTGTAGTCATGAGATTTCTACTTCTTCTAAACACATTATGGAATATAAGCAGTCCAGAAGTAATCAGCTTGGGCCTCACCTTCCTGGTTTTTCCTTGCTCATCCTCTCTGGTGGGAATTCTATGCAGTTATGAACCAGTCAAAAGGGAGGGAGAGGGATAATTTGCCTCATAAAGGATCAACTGCAATATAAAGATGATCATCTAGTGTTCAAAAAATACCCTCCCAGACTATCTCTTTTTAAAATTATTGTAATTTCTAAGTAAGCAAATATCATTTCATTGCTTAAAAACCTTGGAAGATGACTCTCTGGTTCAGAATAAAGTCTACCCCGGAGGTCCCCAGACCTGCCCCTCTCCCTCTTCTAGCCTCATTTCTCCCTGTGCCCAGCAGCCAGCCTCCCACTAGAGCCACACTGGCCTTCCCACCCTCCCCACAATACCCCTCAGATTTCGCATGCCTTGCTCCTGGTATTCCAAGGCCCAGGATGCTCTGCTCTGCTCTTCTCCCATACTTTCTTTTTTCTGCCTGGAAATCTTCCCTGTTAAAACCCAAGTCAAATGATGCCTCCTGCCTGAACAGTCAGAATTAATCACCTCTTGTATACCCCCACAACACTCTGTACATAATGACTACTTTAAAAAGGCTGGTTACAAAAATTATCATCAATGTGACGATAGTCAGTGAATTTATATTGGAAGAAAAGATGAAAAGAGGGTTGAATGCTGCTAAACACTGCTTTGCTGCACCTTCCCAGGCTGCTAGGTGCAAGCCGGCATGACCAGACTGCATTCTCAGCCAAACTGAGGTAGACTTTTCAGGTCTAGCGGGGAGGGGACCATATAATTTTCTGCTGTTTCACCAGGTGTCCTGATTCAACAATTAGACATTTGCTCCTTTCTGTGAGGCATTCCTCATTTCTGGTGGTGAATAGAAACCAAAATACTTCTTGAAAAATAGAAAATGTATGAATCTTGTCAGACTTTTAAAAAACTTGATACAACAGCAAGTTGAGTGGACTTGGAGGATGGCACATAGAAATTAATTTTTCATTTATTCTCCAGGAAGTGAGCTATTTTAAATTTGCCAAGTGTGATATATGTTTTCCTTCTTCCATAAATCAACTCTCTCCTTGAGAATTTTAGCTCTATATACTGATCTGCATGGACCACTTGTCCCTTAAGTCTTTGCTCCATTAATCATTGAGTACTTTCCAGGAAAGGATATTCACAGAGATTATTCTCTCTACCTCTTCTACAGTTGTTAGCAGACAACTGTGCCTCATGACCAGGCTGGAGGTCACCATTCCATAGAGGCCACTTCCTGTGAAAATGAAACTCAGTGACATCAGCACTGATCTGCTCCAATGCCATGAGGCCACGGCCTTTCCCTAGTGTTCCTACAAGAAAAGAATAAAAAGGAAGGGCAGAAATGGCATTCCTCACAGTGGGTAGGCACTAGGAGGATGCTATGCTTCTAACTGGACAGTGTTCTGACATGGAGCAATAAAGCTGTGATCACCCAGGGTGTCAGCGTCCTACTGCCAAAAGTCTGGGTAAAGGCTGGATGTGACTTGGGAGTTGCCAGTTGTGGGAAAGATGCAGCTGATTCTACTCTTCAACACAGGATCTTCCACCTAAATTCTTCACATAATCAAACTGCATGAAATTGCACCATTTAGAGATTCCTTTGGGAGATTGCTATTCAGCATTCACACGCTGGTGTAATTTACATTCAGTCAGCTGTTTTTCCCTTAACACACAACTAGAGTCAATTATTTTCTCCTTAATGCAGAACCATTAATAGGAGTTTTGAAAAAGCCTTCAGAAAGGAGTAGCAAAAGTTGCCTTTGAGATCAGGCACTGAGCAGTGAGAGGTAGGGTGGGGCATGCCTCAGACCCACAGGAGTTAGCAGAATAACCCAGTGCACTAGGAGATGGGGAGAGGCTCACAGAAAAGAAGGCAGAAGGGCCAGACATATGAGTCTTCTTACAAATGCTGCTTAGAGGGAAGAGCCCCCAGCACCCTGGAGAACCTAATACAAGAGGTAGAAGCAGGGCTGGTGTACAGCCCCACAACAGCCATTAAAGTAATGAAATACGGTCCATAGCCCCATATCTCAAATCCCTGGATCCAGATATATTCTAGAATTTAGAATGTTTCTGTTTTTGAAAAGCAGTATGATGCATATGTCATATCAGTTTCCTCATATCCATTAAGACCAAATTCATTATGGAATGACCAGCGTTTGTCAGAGCTTTTTTGGCTTTCAAAATTGCAGATAAGAGATTGCAGGCCTGTACTTCTGTACCAATTGATAAACAGTCCAAAGACCCTCCCACCACCCTGAGCACCCACACACATTTTCCGTAATCCAGCAACTAAAAGGTGTTGCCTGACCCAGCAGGAGGAAGCCCTAGGACTCTGCCCCAGCACCACAGGGTAGTCGTAGTGAGTCTGTGCCCCACGCCTTTTCCCTCTTCAGGCTGCTTGAACCTTTCTATACTAGTGAAGCCTAGACGGAAGCATATGATGACTGGTCACAGTGCCCACAGTCCTTAGAATGGGCATGGCAAAGCCTTGGGCATGGAGTCTAAAGACTGGGGGTCTATTTTCTCTCCCATTCTCTTGTTCAGGAACCTTGGATAATCCAGTTATCTCCTCTGAGCCTCAGTTTGCTAACATATGAAATGGGAATAATGATACCTCATATGGTTGTTAGGAGGATTGCATGAAGTATTAGGGTTTAAAGTGCTTTATGGACTACAAATTGCTGTTCAAATATAAGATATTACCAGTTGTACCACTGTACTAGGAAAATGAAACAAAGCGATGTATATAAAAGTGCTTTTACACTGAATTACATACAAAAGTGGGGTTGTATTATCATTGTGAACTTTCTACCATGGAAGGCAATCTGGGTTCCCAGGGATGAGAAGGTAACCCACACTGGTAGCCAAGAGAATCCTACTTCCTAATAACCATTCTGTCCAACTTCCCTTCTCTAGTCTCCACTCCCAGCTCTGATTGGTCCCTTCATAAAAAGGACAGAGACAAAAGGCTCAGGAGACTTGCTAAGGGCTCTGCCTTGAAAAGGATTTACAAGAAGAATTGCCAGGGTAGGAAGAGCTCCAGACAGCTGACCAGCATCTGTCTCCATTGAGGGACTTATTGTCAGCCATGGCCATCAAGGTTACCACAGCCGAGGGCACTCAGAGCACCTGGGGTCAGCCCCAGCCCTACTGCTCTGGCTCCATCTCCTGATAAGCAATTATTTTCACCTCTCTGAGCACTGGGCTCCATAACTTCACATTTAGAGTACGAATGCATACTTCCAGGGCCATGGAGAGAAATCGGTGAGAGTGAAAACCCTTTGAACATCATAAAGCTCAATGCAAATGTGAAATTATTTATTATTGATTGGCATGGGAAGGTCCAGGAAGCAGTGGTAGCTCAGAAGCAGAAGGTTTCAAGGTAATGGGGCCGAGCTTCCAGAGTTTGCTGGGGAAAACTAGACCCCTCCCTGAGCAGGCCTTGAGGGGAGCAGGCTGCAAAAACATCGCAACCAGGCAAAGTTATCTTCCTTGGGCCTGGACAGACCATTACAAGGTACTGTTGAGAGTGAAAGAATGGGATCCTCAGCCCATTGGGCACCCCGTGAGTTATTTTCTGTGTTCTGTTCTGTTTTGCTTTATTTTCAATTCTGTTTTTTTCAGTTTATGGCTTTAACAATTATGTGTGATGCTGAGCCCTGGAGAGCTAACAGCATGGCATTTTTCAGGATTGATGTGGTGTATTTTAACCACAAGCCACTGAAACCCAAGGAAAGATCTAAATGGGATATTCCAGAGCATTGCTCTGGTGGCACACATCTAGGAATTTGAATAGGTTAATGATGACTCTCTGGGCCTTGCTGGAGAAGAATTCTCACTCTAGCAACCAAAGCAAACAGACTGGGATGGAATTGATGTGAACACCTAATCTGTTATGTATGCACTCAAGGGTCTCCTTGCATTTTCTTATGCATGTGACTGACTTCTTTTGTCAACTAATTATTAAATCAGGGAGAATGTTTCCAGGGCACCTTATTTAGAGACAAATCCTTAAGATTCAAGATGTGACAGTCTCAGAATGGTCTCATGCCAAAAACTGTAGTGCTTTTAGTTGTTTTCTACTTTTTTCTTTACTTGTCTTTAAATCCTGCTATTCTTACGGTCCTGCTGGAATACTGCTTTTTCACAGGAAAAAAGAAGAACATTTCCTGCAGGAAATAATACCAAAAAAACAAGATTTCTTTTTCTTCTTCCCCGTTGGAATTCCTGAGTCACTGCGTAATTTGACACAATCAGATTTTACTGTAAAATGGAGACAAAACAATTTACATTTCATTTGATTCTTAATTTGAGACTTAATATGCACAATATTGCATGACATGATTTAAATTCTTACCCTCTAAAGATAATGCTAGTACAGACAGTTTGAAAATTTAGAAAGCATCCATTGCAAATAGTTTTCCAGTTTGTATTTTAAACTTTCTCCTTAATGTCTTCTTATTCCTCGGAGACCTTCCTTCAAGGAGAAAGTATCCACACCTTGTAATTATTTGCATTTAACAATGCCTTCATTTTATGGGCACAGATCTCATATACTGTAGAGCAATGCTGTACTAATATTTTTAGCTTTCAATATTTAACCCAAACTTCAGATTATATACAGTAAGGTCCTAAATCATCTACACCTGCAAATTAGGTTTAGGATTACGAACTCAATTACCTAGGATTTCCTCCTGCTTTGAAATTTCATTGTCACTGTTTTTAACATTAGACTGAGGCATTTGGGGATGACATGTGGCATTTTCTTGGGAAAGCAAATTAATGACTTGCATTGTCTCTCCAGACTCAGGGGGCAGGCTCTCCCCGCTCCTCCCCCAGCCACACCATCAGCAGGCCAATTCCCATGCCCATCCGGTCAGTATCAACCTGCTCCACCCCGATGCACACGCCGCAGGACTCCCTCACAGGGGTCGGGGGAGATGTACAAGAAGCATTTGCACAAAGTAAGTGGCTTTATTTCTTGTTGTAGTCTGCTTTTATGTGGCAAATAGGTCATCAAGGTCTGCTGAGTGGTCAAGAGTCATCAGCTACATGTGATTATTATAGGGCCTGTCATGGCTGGTGTCAGAGCCTGGCCTGCCAGCCATTTGGGGAACTCCCTGCACTGATTTGTTCTCACTTCACCATGTTACCTTCCTTTGGCTTTTGTTCCCCTGTTTTATTTTTCAGTAAGTCTTGTTCATCAAAAGACCACAGATCTGTTTACCAATACCCCCAGAAAACTTCATAAATGTAATCCATTTTTTTTTAATCTTAGAGATTTTATTATCTTATAATCTTTTCTTTAAAGTCAAGACTGAGATAGATAATTACAGCTCTTTAGCAATAAGGTAACCAAGAAGAACATTTAAGATTCCCTGTTCAGATGCCCAAAAGAGTTAAATCATTGCCTCTGTAAGGTGGGGCTGCAGAGTTAGGCCTCTTCTGTTAGAGGAGTCCAAAGAAGGGTGGGTATGCCAGCCAGCACTCTCCCATGATGGGGAGAGTAACTTTATTAATTTAGAAATATTTTTAACACTTTTTACAACCTTTTCTTACTATCGCTTTTTACATTTATAGAGAATAAGAAAAAAAAATCACTCTGTAGACCTTCACCCAGCAACTCTCATTCCCAGAAGTAACCACTATATCACACATTGCATTTTAGAGTCTACAATTTGCATTTTCTTTAAATTGGCAATATACCATGAATATCCTTCAAAGTCTTCACATAGAGATCTAAGGAAAAGAGAGACTTGTTTGACTACTGGTTTTAAGGCAAAGAAAATCATAAAGTCAAAAGACAAAAAACGGTCTTGAAACCATTTCTAGCATCTACGTCAATCAAGTTTTATAATTTCAGTCATACAAAAAGCATGTAGAGATCAGAAAAAAAAAAGACACCACCAAAACAAAAACAAGCGAAGGACATGGACAGAAGAACAAAAAGAAATTGCCAATAAATATATAAAAGATGTTCAACCTCTGATATAATAGCAGAAATAAAAATTTTAATAAGTATCACTTTTTGCCTAGAAGGTTAAAAAAATATTTTGAAACATCGTAATATCGAGGGATAGCAAGAGTGTGAGGAAACAGGTACTCTCATCCATGTGGAGGAGTGATAAAATCTTAACACACTTTAATGAGAAAGAATGATGGATTCTCTACTCTCTTATGAGGGAAAGGAAGGATCCATATTAGGACTTTTTCTTCTAAGTACTGAATATAACTCAAGAGTTTTAAAAAATGTAATTCACAAAATAACTTATTTTAATTTTGAGAAATAAAAATATCCTTTCTCTAAATCATATCTTAAAGAAATTTACTATATTTAAAATCAATTTGTGATTTCTATTATAATTAATGTTTTTACTTAACTACTCTGATTTTTAAAATTTCAACATGTTTTTTATTTTAGTTAGTGCTACTTTCTGAAAAATGACGGAATGAAGTGTGGCCTATAGGTATCCTTTAACTTATAAAGAGCTCAGGCTACCTAAGTTCATTTGTAAGTTAGGTATTTGGAATCTTGAACCATTTTTTTCTCAGAGATGTTATGGCAAATATCTCTCTTTACTCTCCCTACTCCCAGGCTGGCTCATAAGCATCCATTTAACCCTTAGTGTACCTGAAACAAAATAATAATCTTTCTTTGCCATGAAGAAACATTGTCTAAATTCCAATTCGTAGTACCAGACATGCATCTGCCCATGTCTTGGCAGAAGAGACAAGAATCCTCACCCCTTTCTCACACTCTGAGGGCATTCAGTGCAGGTGTTCCCCATTCCCAAGTGGTACTTATACTGGCAGGAAGAGCTCCAGGAACCCTGATAGGAGACAGCACATGTCCCACTGAAGACCAGAATCTAAAGGGCTCGGCCACCAGGTAAGGGCAAGAATAATAATAGCAGCTAGGAAGGCGCAGCTCTCTTGGCAAAACTCAACTTTTCCTCTGTGTGGATTATTCTTAAGAAGGTGACCACACACTGGTTTACCTGGGACCATCCCAGTTTTACCAGGTCAGCCAGTTTCCTTCATACTGCTCTCTTTCACTTTCAAAATTGCCCCCATTTGGACCAAACAATTATATGAGACTCCATCATTAGCCACGTCTTCTTACTGCAGGACCCACTGCCCTGAGCAGTGTTTTGTTGTTGTTGTTCTTGTTGTTGTTGTTTCACGAAATGAACCAAAGTACTTCTGAAAAGGAGAAGTCTTAGAAGTTTTATTGCTTTAGGTTATTAATGGGAAGGATAAACCAACAACATAAAAATTTAGGATAAAGGGAAGGCTTTGGTTTTTTTTTTTATTATTATTATTTCTTCTTTCCTGAAGGTTCAAGAAGAAATTTAAGGAATGATTTGCTAGTGGCTGCGGATTCCATCACTAACACTATGTCCTCTCTTGTGAAAGAGCTGAATTCTGGTGAGTTCCCAATTTCCTCTCATTTGTCTGCTCATTAGCGGGGCCTATAAGTGCTAGAGGCCTCTCTTAGAGATCTGCTCATTGTCTAATACCAAAACATTGTTTAAAGTTCAATGTGATATTTTGTTGGTCTATTCAGATGTGAGGGTTTTTTAAATTTTTGTTTTGTTTTTTGAGACAGGGTCTCTTTGTGTTGCCAGGCTGAAGTACAATGGCACCATCATAGCTCCCTGGAGTGTCAAATGCCTGGGATCAAGCAATCCTTCTGGATCAGCCTCCCTAGTAGCTAGGACTACAGGCACATGCCAGCACGCCTGGCTAATTGTTTTTGTTTTCATAGAGACAGAGTCTTTGCTATGTTGCCCAGGCTAGTCTCAAACTCCTGGCCTCAAGTGACCCTCCTGCCTTAGCCTCCCAAAGTGCATGAGACACTATGTCTGGCCTATTCAGATTTTTTAAAGTAATGTTTATATTTTACTTATCCGAATATTATTAGTGCATACTCAATGTAGAAAGTTTGAAAAAGGCAGAAAAGAGCAACCAAAAATATTCAAATTTATCTATAATTCTAGAATCCAGTGACAGCCACTGTTAACATCTATGGCGATCTAAAACAAGATGATGCTGAAGTTATTTTATAGGGTCAAATGTTTTATTTACTTTTTTTCTTTTTTGAAGATGGGGTGTTGCTATTTTGCCCAGGCTGGCTTGAACTCCTGGGGTCAATCAATCCTCCTACTTCAGCCTCCCAAAGTATTGGGATTACCAGCCCTTATCTATTTAGATTTCATCAATTTGGAATGCCTGATCATTTGAATTTGAATATCAAAATTGAATTTCAATCATTTGAATTTGAATTTCAAACTGAAATTTACCTTTGCAATATCTCTGAAGATAGATCTGTCCGGAAATAAATAGCATAAAATTTAAAGAGACTTTTTATCCTCCTAATACTGCAAAGAATGTTAAAAACTTCAGCAGTATGAATATAAAAATAAATATGTTACCAGTTACTAATACATCTCCATCTATTCCTTAAGGCCAATCTAGCAAGAGATTTGTCTGGCTAGACTGGGATCTTATTGCTGAGATTACAACTATAAGAAATAAAATGTCAGTATTAAAAAAATCCTGGACTTAACTTTCTTAAAGCCTCTCAATTGAAAATTGTTGCTGCTAATTTAGATTAAGATTACCGAACAGTGTAAAATGATAGTAGTTAATACATCATGATTAATGGCAGGTACCCACTGCCCTAGCAAATGATGAGTAAAAGTTATTCTTGTTGTGGAAGTCTTAAGTACTGTTAATTTATACTCATCATTCTTTAAAGTATTAAGTGATAGGGTTCATTTAACATTTTAAGATCATATTTTAGGCATTTTAGGTGAATATTTTAAGGTTAGGGTTACGTTTTAACTCGTGTTTCTTAAATTAGTGTAATACTAAGCAAAAGTAACAATTTCAGTTAAGATTCTTACAGAAGGGAAAAGTAGAAGTTTTAAGGAGTTAAGTCATTTGCCAAGACAGCAAAAATTTCTCGTAACATTTCTCAGATTTTAAAAATGCTTTTATAATAAAATCATTTTACCAAATGATTTTATAGTAATTCATGTCAATATCAATTCTTAATGTTGAAAAAATAAAAATGTATTTGATTAATATATGATAACTGGTCAAAGTTTTACACAGCACTGGTTGATTTGTTAAGCCTCCTCCTTTATTTCCAGGTCATAAAAAAATCTAACAATTTTTTTATGTATCTTCAATTGTATCTGATAGAGGTGGGGAGTGAAACAGAGAGTAATGTGGATTCTGAATTTGCACGGACTCAGTTTGAGGATCTTGTTCCCTCACCAACCTCTGAAAAGGCTTTTCTAGCGCAAATCCATGCCCGAAAACCTGGGTACATTCACAGTGGAGCTACCACAAGTACCATGCGTGGCGACATGTGAGTATCTTCAGCTTGGAGACGTTTTCTCAGTAACAAAACAATCTGTAGGAGGCAATATGAAAGTAAAAGAATAATTGTTTAGGTTTTTTTTTAACCTTCAAAAGGGGTGACATAGTTTTCTTTTCTGCCAGAGATATAGAAGGGTGCTACATTTATATTCGGCATTGTGGTATTTCCCCCCTTATGATTTTTAGAGAGTTATCAATAACCTAAACCAACCAGTGCTTATCAGGAGCCTGCCTTGCCTAAGGCACAGTGCTAGCTCTATACAAAATAGTATTAAAAGGCTGGACACAGTGGCTCACATCTGTAATCCCAGTACTTTGGGAGGCCAAGGTGGGCAGATCACGAGGTCAGGAGATCAAGACCATCCTGGCTAACACACTGAAACCCCATCTCTACTAAAAACACAAAAAAAAAGCTAGGCATGGTGGCACACACCTGTAGTCCCGGCTACAGGGGAAGAGGCTGAGGCAGGAGAATCGCTTGAACCCAAGAGGCAAAGGTTGCAGTGAGCCACAATGGCGCCACTGCACTCCAGCCTTGGGTGATAGCGAGACCCATCTCAAAAGAAAACCAGAAGTATTAAAAAACTGCACCACCCTTTTAGGACTCACAGACTAGTTCAGGAGATAAATCATCCTATCTTTTGAACTTATTGTATTTGCACCTAAAGGATACCATGACACTAGAGAGGGCTCTGCGCAGAATTGGTGTAAACAACATCATATAAATATTTGGAATTGAAATAAGTACATGTATAAAATCTCATTATAAAGAAATCCAGTTTGGTTAACTTGTTGAATATGTATAAATCTGATCTTCCAAATACTTACTTGCAAAATTTTCACTCAGTGCTGGAGCTTGTTAGAAACCAGCAGAATCAATGACATCCCCACTAGACTTTCTGTGACCCTGGATCAGCTCAGAGTAGTCAGCAGAGACAACCAAAGCTGAGAAACAAAGGCAAAGCTGAGACAGAGCTGCAGAGCCCAACTTGGGAGGGAAAGGGGGAAAACAAAAGAAGTGAAGAACGTGCCCCATTAGGAGATCATCGTTCATGGAGTTACAGAAAACATGGAGAAAGGCTGACCCAAAGGCTGCGGGAGGGAGTTGCTGAATGCTAAAAATACTACAGAGGGGTGATGGGTGATGTTGCTCAATATGAAAAGTACTTCAGACTAGCCTATAAAAATAAACTGGCTATTTGAAAGACTCAGAGAAGAAACTAACCAGAGGCCTTTCTCGTGTTTGGCTCTCAATCCAAGCAGTGAATAAATGATCAGTAATCATAGAGAATTATCAAGAGGTATGGTCTGAGAGTCAGCTGTGAAGCAGCAGAGAGTACGATCAAAACAAAACCAATAGAATAGGGCTTAACATGGCAGTACGCTGCTGCTTCTTTTTATAGTTTGCTTTCTTGTCCTTTCTTCTGTATTCTTGAATTGTTGGATTTGTTATTCAAAAGGGTGAACTGTCATCTGTTTTGTCTGGGGAATGCATATCTATTTGATTTTTATTATTAAGCATTTATATGGCAGTTAGCTAGAATTTCCCTGTCCCAGTTCTAAAATCCAAGACTATTGAGGCCACCCCAATCTGCTACCCATGGTATGCTGAGTAGCAGCACCAGCTACCAACATGTGACTCAGGAGTTAGGGAAGGAAGGTTCACAGAGGCCTAGGCAGACCCATTTAGACTGGCCCCAAACCTCCAAAAATAACCAGAACATGTTGTACAGCTATAAATAAACATGAACAATGGCATTTAAGTTCCAGCCTAGAAACTTCACTTATTTCGTTTTAGGGAATAATTTAATATCTCTGTCGTCTAAACATGTACTTGTGTTTTACCCTGAGAATCTTTTAGTCCTGTGACTTAGGTAGTGAGCTTAGGTCCAGACCCATGAAGAGCTTTGCACAGTCTATGATGAATGGAAGGAGATAAAGCCCCACATTAGGAAATAAAGTCATTTTTATCTATTTATTTGATAGTGGAATTGGGTAATTTAAATACTATTTTTTTTCAGATTTGGAGCTAAGGTCAAGAGTTATGAATTAGAATAGTAACCCTCCTGGCATCGACTAGCTGATATTCTAAGACTTAATCCTATAAAAATAAAGTATCAATTTTGTGTGTGTGTTGTGTGTGTGTGTGTGGGGTGTGTGTGTGTGTGTGTGTGTGTGTGTGTGTGTGTTGTGTGTCTGTAACACAAAAGAGGTTAAATGATAACCAAATGTCCTTAAGCATTATTTCACTAGAGGGCTCACTCTGCTTACAAAAAGTATCCTTGGGTTCTATTTTAAAAAAGAATAAAAAGAGCCCTCAGATTGGGAAAACTTTATATCCAAAGATGTTTGCCCTTTTAAAAATTATAGAATATTTAAAGGGCCAACCCACTCCAGCAAACCCTAGAAAAAGATAGATGACCAATGATCACAACCATAAAAAAAATGTGTATGAAAATACCTTGATCATATATTGCTTCAAACCCCCAAAATGTTTCCAAGTTTTTCTGTAGGTTTTACTGAAGAAGACATGAAAGTGACTTGGAGAATTTAGGAGAAATAAATGTGCCAATAAAATTACAGCTCACACACAAATTCTGCTTGTAACTGTCTTTTAAGATTCGCTCTAAAATGCCATCTGTGGTTTATTCAGGGTCACAGAGGATGGGGATCCCTACGTGCAGCCTGAGGATGAAAACTATGAAAATGATTCTGTCCGGCAGCTGGAGAATGAGCTCAAGATGGAAGAATACCTGAAACAGAAGCTGCAGGATGAAGCGTATCAGGTACAGGGATCCAGGCCCCACCCACCCTACCTCTTCTACCTCAACCCCTTGGTAACTGAGTCTTTGACATGACTTGCAGAATCGGTGCCTTCTCCTTCCTTCCACCCCCAACCTTTCCACAATATACTGATTTCACTCCTTAATCCATGTTTTCTAGACAGTAAAAACGTTAAATACTTTGTATAGCTGTCACTCATCATATATTCTTTTAAATTCTACCCTAAAAAATAAGCAGCCTTCTTATATTGGAAAAAAAAAACATGGTAACTAAAAGTCCAAACTCCTTCAGGCCCATTAAGAAAGATGGGCCTTTCTCTCATAATTATTTTTAAATGGATACAAAGAACAGGGCATGAGGAAATTGAATAAGCATAAATGCACCACCTCCCTTGAATGGTTTGCCCTCAGCCTTCCTCATTGCCCACCTCATGCCAAGTGTAAGTAGGAGAATGGCAAACCTCATGGAGAAATGTTGGGGGAACTGCAGGACTGCGTTCAGCAAGGTGTGGACGGACAGATTTTCAGATGTACTGGAGTATGTTAGCCATCTGAAAATTCACTGACTGTAACACATGCAATTGGGAATAAATGTAACCAGCGACTCATCCTAAAGGCCATGAATTTCCCTATGGAGATTGTTCTACTGCCTTGTTTGTCTTCCTGGTTTGTTTCTTTTCCCTTTAATTTGCAGGTGTTTGCTTCGGGTTCTGGTATTCAGGGATGTTTACCTGGTTGAGACCAGCTTTTTCCCTGGGCCTCAGTGGGCTATTTTATCCTGTCAGACTTTCTGTCCAATGATCAGACAAGTTTCCTCACATTGTTTTGTTTTGTTTTGTTTTTTGAGACAGGGTCTTGTTCTGTTGCCCAGGCTGGAGTACAGTCACACGATCATAGCCCACTGCAGCTCTAACTCCAGGGTACAAGCGATCCTCCCACCTCAGCCTCCTATATCTGGGACTACAGGTGCACACTACCATGCCTGGCTAATGTTTTTATTTTTTGTGGAGACAGGGTCTCACTATGTTGTCCAAGCTGGTCTTGAACTCCTGGTCTCAAGCAATCCTCCCACCCCAGCCTCCCAAAGTATTGGAATTACTGACATGACCCACTGTACCCAGCCTTTCTGCATATTATTAGGGCAGCAGTGCCCTATCTTGCTTTGATAGAAAGAAAAAAAAGAAGCAGAGAGAATAAATTATCTCCTATTTCTTATATGTCTATAGATAAAGCCTTGAAATATTTTTCTAAGAAAACTGTAGCAGGAGGGAAATAAGCTCACCAATTCCATCCCAGCAATATAAAAACAAAGTTTTGCTTCTTTGGAATGTTCCATTAGCATTTTCACTTTAACAGCCACATTTCAGAAGCAACTAAAATGTTGGTCTACCCATGATAAAGAAAAAGGGAAAAAGAAAAAAATATGTGACTATATATGTACAGCCGTGCTCCCACGCTTCAGAAAAAAAAGTTGCCTGATTGCAAACCCATGGAGAGTGCAGTTTTCCTTGCACCTTCTATGGCTCCTCCATAGAAGAAAGTTAGCCTGGAACGACACTGCCAGGGCATCTCTGGGAACTCTGAGGGATGGCATTCCTATACGCACCTCATTAGGCTCTGCTGTGTAGAGTGAAAGAAAAATGTGGCTAAATAATCAATGTTCTGGTTCATGCTATTAGAAGCATCTATTAGGTCTCCCTCTTTGAGCTCATGTCACTTTCTGTATTTTGGTAGCTGCAGTAACTGAAATTCTAGGGGTTCTTTTTTTTTTTCCTTAAGGAAGGCAGCCTTACCCCATTCCATATAAAATATTAGATTTTTATTTATTTTAATGAATTAGAAATGTAACCTTTTATAAGTAAAATGAAGGGAATTTCTACTAATGACTTAAGATTCAACTGAGTTTTTACCATCGCTGGTAAATCTTAAGCTCCCTCTCCCTCTCCTTTCTTTTCCATTCCTCATGACTTCCAAGAAAAGGGCAGGGAAGAGGCTGGGAGAATATAACAGGCCTGTGTATCTCCACTCAAAACATATGCCCTGGACGATGTCAGTGTTTTTTCTTGAACGCTCTGTGAGCATATGGTTGTTGGATGGATTGGAATGCTACTCTCATTCAATAGACTCTCTCTCTCTCTTTCTCTCTGTCTTTGTGCATGGCTTCCTGCCAAATAATTCACCAGCTTGACTGCATCACAGACTTGACATGTCACCTTTCTTGTTTGTGTCCTTTGTCACCCACAGGTCAGCTTGCAAGGTTGAATGCAATATCCTTTTATCACACTCCTCTCAAGTAAGTACCATCTTATTTAGGAGGAAACATGGCCACTGAACACTGAATTCTGATAACTTGCAACATAAATTCACAATCACTTTCACTTAGTCGTTCCTTTCTATGTGGTAAAATATCTTCTCCCTTGCTGATATGGAAGAATCATCTCAGTCTATGGAGTGTTTCATTATAAAACCAGTGGAGATTTGCCAGACATCCTTGGGAGTTGACTTCTTACTCTATTAGTTAGGAAAATTGGCACAAAATTTCTAAACCTAGAGATGTTCCAGAAATCCTCTGTGGCTATGAAACTTACCAATAAGTTTGTCACATCACCAATCCATTATGATATTGGAGTTTGCAGCAGCTCTAGCACTTGAAAAGGAAAAGTCAGTACCTCTAGAGATGGGTCAGCTTGTTAGCCATACTATATCTAGGTCTCAAGAGATCAAATGTGTGTACCTTAACAAGTGAAAGCAAAATCATGCATTATTAAAGAGAATAAAAGAACCCAAACAGAGGAAAAATTCTGCAGCCTTATGTTTTTGAAATACCTGATTCAAATCCATTGTGGAATTCAGCAGTACATAAATTAATTTAAAATATGAATTGCATGGCATGTGAAACCACTCCAAAACTCTACCTAAATACATGGAAGATCCTCAGTAATTTTTTAATGCAGAGAGATTAGCACTGGACTGGCAGAATCACTTGACTGTAGTGGTCTGAAGCTTAGGTGCTGGACTCTAATAGACCCATTTCGAATATGCATTTCAACCAAATACTAGCAGCAGAACTTTGAGCAAATTATTAAACCTGTATTAGCCTCAGTTTCATCTACATAACATATTGTATAATATCAGCTTTACAGAAGAGTTGTACTTACTGGGATATGGTTTCTAAAGAGTTTTGCATAGTGGCAGGCACACTGTCATTTATTATGAACATTCACATATATGCCTGCCCCTATGCTCAGTGCTTCATAGCACTTCAACATCTGGGAGCTGCCATAGTGTTTACGTAAGTGTATGGGAACCACTGGGACTCAAAACTAACTTGCTGTCTCTACTTTTATAAACAAGGCAAGGATGAAGCTACATGCGATGACTTGGCACACTGCAGGCTGCACTGTTCCATAAGTCTAGATTTTTTCTCTGTCTCCAGCTAATAGCTATTTAGATGCCCCCATGATAGTTCAAAGCTAATATATCTCTCAAAGGATTCTGGCTGCACTAGCCCAAACATTTGAGTTATAGGAGCTTTTTCAACCATGGAATCCCATATGTCTATAGTGCAGTGGACAGTAAATACTATCAATGCTGGTTGCTATTAATAATTTGAAAAAGGAATATATAGCTGTTAAATGTCATATTAGTAAAGAATACATGCTAGTGCAAATGCTACTGACATCCTGTGTCAGTCCTCGGGTTAAAATTAAGCAAGTGAAAATCATGGCATAATTGCTGTGATAATATATACTTTATGAGCAGTGAGGAAGAAGCTTATTGACCACTCTCTATTCTGCCTCTTGGATTTGAGAGTGCCACACCACATGCTATCCTGACTCATTACAACCAGAGTGAAAAAATTCCCAGGAGCTTTCTCTAAAAATATTCACTCCAGTTATAACAAACTTAGTCCCAATGGGGCAGGCCTTTTCCTTTAATAGCATTTTCTTTCTCTTAGCTTCAGCAATTTGATCATTTTTGTTCTGCACATTATTTAAACATCAGTAGCTAGTTCTTAGAAAAATATTTTTGAAAGTCTAATAAAATGTGCTTGCCTTCAACCCAGATAAAAAGTGGCATTTGGTTCTTATATCTAAAAGCCAAAAATTTTAGTACCATTTGTTAAATCTTTTATTGCAAATTTGGCGGTGAAAAATTAGACAGTTGTAGTCTTTGCCATTTACTGCATTCTGTAGCCTACCTAGCTGAAATTCCACAGAACTCTGAACAAGAACCATCCTGTCATTCAGTCAGCCACTTAGGCAAATTCATTTAAAACCTGATAGAATATTGTAAAAACTAGTGGCTTTTCATTTTTGCAGCTGATTCTATCCGATTATACTTTTTCTTAATGTAGCCAAGAAATATATGTACAATTTAGGCCAGTTTATTTTACTAAAATATTTTTATTTTGACTTCTGATGGTACTGCAATACCAGAAATTATCCCAAAGTATATGCATCTCTTATCCAAAGGTCCTGAAGCCAGATTCATCAGCTTGACATGAGTTAGCCATCTGTCAAGGCAGAGCCTTGCATGGGGAAGAGGCAGAAAGTGGATGCCAGAATCATAGAACATGCAACCTCTACTCAAAAAGAGCTTTAGGCCTATTTGAAAATAAATACACACTTACCAACATACAGTACTAAAAAAGAGTGAATAGTGTGAAACCTGGTTTATTGGTTTTCAACTAGCCACTTTTGAAGAAACAGTATACATAACAGCATTCAGCTTAGGGTCCACCAAGACTCAATTTTGGCCCACTTAGATACTGCATTTGTCCATGTTATATCCTCTGGCCACATGGTACACAGTCCTCCTTGGCCACTTATATCCTAATGGAAATTAGAGGATTGGATCGTTGAAAGTAGATTCTTAAACAGTCAACATGGCATCCTAACGATGGGTCACTGGTTTTATCTCCTTCTCCAAAAGACAACACAAATATTTCTGTTTGTGTTGCTTTTCCCTTCCAGATGCCTCAGGTATCCATTAAGAAAGAGATCCACATGGAGGACTTCCTGTCCTCTCTTCCAGAAGGTGCAATAGCACAGTGTTCCAGGACATTCATTCCTGATTGTCATAGGAAGGGATGACATAGGAAGGGATTGTCATAGGAAGGGATGTGTGTGTGTGTGTGTGTGTGTGTGTGTGTGTGTGTGTGTGTGTGTCTGTGTCTGTGTGTGGGTGTGGGTGTCAGTGTGTGGGTGCATGTATTGTCTTGTGTATTGGGGAAAGGGGGGATCCTAAGCTTCATAACCCTAATTTAGAAACAATTTGCATCTTTTAAAAAAATTACACATTCCTTATTCCCAGGCAAGCTATAGTCAGACAGATGATGAAAGTAACATGAAAACTGGTGATGATGGAGAGCCCTGTGGCCACACAGAGGAGGAAGACAGCAGCCTGGCAGCAGTCTCACCGAAGAGAGGAGCCACCACACCCAGCAGCTCCTGACAAACCCCCACCCCTAAAGATGTGTTCTGATGACTATAGTGCAGATAACTTTTTGTTCTAAGATTTGTAGTGCGTAGGTGTGTATTTAGAGATGGAAAAAAGAAAAAAAAGACTTCTGTTCAAAGTTAACTTATCAACTACATCCTCTGTAACATGGTTCATCCCTGGTTAAAAAGTAAAAATACAAGCTGAAAACCCATGCTGCTGTTATACACAGTGGCAATATTAACAAGCATTTTAAACCTTTGCACATGATATTGAACCTGTTCAGTTTACAATGACAATATTAATACTGTTTATAGCTAGGAGTTTGATTTCTGAATTATTTGAGATTTTAGCAAAACAGTTTATTATACACTGTACATTTTTTTCCACAGCAATTGGAAAAAAACAACCACTTGCAATCATTCACTAACCCTGAAGAATCTGGTTCCTGAGTGTACAAACTCAGATTCGAGAAGCCAAGAAGGGTCCTTGGCCTGCACGGTCTGTAGTTGACTCCAAGTCTCTGTGAGCAGTGACTTGAACCAAACAGACCAGGAATCATCCATTCTTTGGGGTCTCTTTCCAACTTGGGGTTGTTTTCTTTCAAGATACTCTAACAAATCAGCCATAGAATTTAGTGTAAATATTTTTTTCCAAATAGATATCATATTCAAAAAAGGCAACATTCAAATTATATAGAATCTAGTTTTTAAAATCAGCACAGATCTTCTTAAAAACTGTGAACTATGTTTTGAAATACTCGTTACTAACGCTGTTTATAAACCACAGGTGCCATAAGATCCCCAAATGGACTAAAGTTATCTATGCTCTTCCATGATCTTGTTCCTCTCGTTCTGGCTTTAGGAAGCATGTCTTTAACAGCACCGCTTGTTCACAAGTTCCCCCATCAGGTTGTTTGGAGGCCTTCAGCTTTAAATGTACAGGCTTAAAGTGCGCTTGCAAACATTCGCTCTCCTTTTATTTCTGAATGTTTATTGCCTTAGCTGGCCACCTGGTGTTCTGCATGTAGCCTTCTGTGGTCATGTTAAAGGAGACAGGCTCTTCTAAGTTGAGTTGGGATTTTGCACTCAGTGAAAAGCTGAAGTGCAAAAGAGCTATCAAAGAAAAGAGGATAAAAGACGGATAGTCTTTTCTAAGGACCCTCTTTACAGGGACCTAGAGACCTCCTTCAGGATTCTGGGGAAAATGAAAAAGTCATCTACTTGCTTCAAGATTTGATTTTTTTAAAAACGCAACATAGTCAATACATTATACTTAAATTGGCAATTTCTCTGGAATTCCTGTCTCTCCTTTAGAAGAAAGGAGAGAACATTTTAGAACAAAAGTTCTCAAATTGTGTTCCCTGGACCAGCAGCATCTGCAACACTTAGGAAAGTCTTCGCAATATAAATTCTTAAGCCTCACCTCAGGCCTACTGAATCAGAAACTCTGGGGGTTGGGCCCAGAAATCTGTTTTAATCAACCCTCTATGTGATTCTGATACTCGCTAAAACTACTGCTTTAGAATGAAGTTGTATAATAAAGTCTCTGAAAAGGCCTTATTCAGAATAAGGAAGAAAGGTTCTGTGATTCACTTTTGCTTCTGGGACTGGCAAAAATCTTCTCCAAACCCCACACACCAAGTTCGTAGTTGGTGGGCTCCCAGCCAAGTCCTGACATCTTCACACTCCCTCTGCAGAGGGCGGCTGTAAGATGTTCATGTCTGCGTTTGGTCAGAACCCATCTCCTTGGCTACCCTTTGAATCCAAATCTCTTGCCTTGGGGATAAAGTTCTCGATTGGCATTAGTGAGAAGCCCATCCCATCCCTTGACGTACTTAATCATGCATCTCTCCAGAGAACCCGCCTGACAAATGTCCCTGAGCACAGGCTGACACCAAAGTGGCACAACTGCACAGTTCTTAGATTTCTTTGCACAGATTGATTTTTATTGTGGGTTTTGTTGGGGTGTCTTAATGTTCATCTCTTTTCCACTGCCCATCCTCTGTGAACCCATACCTCTCTAGATGGAGCAGGTGGCCACTGGTGCCTCATACTCAGTACTGAAAACCACTACATCCCAGCTACCTGTATTGCTGTCAGCTCAAAATCATAGCCAGGTAGTTCTCGAACTCGGAACTTAAATCCTGTACATGGCACTCAGCCACTGACTGGACTGAGCTGGCATATGTTGTCTCTTTGTTCTACATCAAAATGTTCGTCTAAGATTTGAACTGTTCTGCTGATAACCTTCCCCGTCGTCATAGCTATTTCATTGCCAACCATCACATGGTTGTCGATACCATCATATAAAGCCATTGCAAGGACTCTGGAAACTGCCGCCAATGACCAATTTCTGACTAACCAGCCACCTTTTCTTTCTCTTAGCTCCACGTCATCACTGAGACCAGACTCAAGCACCCCTGTCCTGTAACCGAGACAAAATGGCGTGTGTTATTTTGGGGTTTTGTGTTTTTTGGTGGGTTTCTTTCCTTGGCTCTCCAGATTTACTTTTGGGGCCTGTTCTAAGTGCAAACCCAGCAGATTTCACTTGTCCTGTCCATTCGATACAACTACATCTTATGGGCGTTGTTTCTTTCTCGTTCCACAATGAATTGCACATCCATCTCCATCAGAGCTGGTAGCCTATTAATGAGCACTGGTCTAACACGGCGAACCCTCCCCCACAGCACCATGTTAATGGAGGAGGGGAGGAAGGTGAAATCTACTACATGGAATTCAGGAAACGGTTGTGGTTGGTCAGGATGGAAGTCGGGGTAAGTTTGGTTGGTCAGAGGGAGTTGTGCTGGAGATTGTGAAAAATGGGTTCTCGAATGATCTACTATAAGGCAGGGAAGGTTCATTTGTAAGTAGTAATGTGAACTGAATTGCATTAAGAGTATGTGGCCTTTGTTGTGATATACTATGTATTTTCTTATATGCATGAGCCAAACTGTTGCATCATAATTTAGCACCAATGTCTGCTTTTATTTTTCATCTTTGTCCACCCTTATTAGTTCTTGGCTGTTAACTGTAGATAGATCCTGTAAATCCAGCAACCTTTGGTTGCTGCATTCACGTTGGTTCAATTCCACACAAGGAGTCACAAACAAGAACTCCAGTGTCCTCAGAAGGGCATTTTTACTTTTGAACCAAAAAGAGAAAAAAATCAGAAGTGTTATATCTTGAACCGAATTAACTGTAAGACATTTTTAATTATGACTACTGCAATTTGACACCATTCAAAATAACCAATTCAGAGACACTAAAGATTTCACAATATTCACTGGTATTGTAAAAAAAAAAAAACTACTATTGTATGGATTTTTGTATTGCTGTTAAGTATTGTTGTGTGTGTGTGTGTGTGTGTGTGTGTGTGTGTGTGCGTTGGAACCTCCTGGGAACATGTTATATTTTGAAGTGATTAAACTATTTAATTGTGTGTCTATATTTTGGAGTGGAATTATTTCTTCATTAAAAAATGTTTTTAAAAACACTATATCTTGGATGTTTTATTCCTTTGTTTCAATAAATCTTTCCTAAAGCAACCTGCAGTCAGTCTGTTTGAGGAATAAAGGCAGGTAAGTACTTCCAGTGTAAAGCAGGACCCATTGATGGAATATTGAGCCACTGAGGCAAAATAGCTCACCTCTTGCCTTAGGGAACACATGGTTTTTTACCATTCTGCTGTTTTATTAGCATCTGTGAGTATCTAATAGACATACTATTCTGCTGTTCATGGAAATATTTTATTATAATTGATACAGAAGTGGGTTTAAAATTTGAATAGCTAACATATTTCATGTCTATATCACACACTATTCTTAACACTTTATGTGACTCCACTTAATTATTTGAAACTTCTGCATCTAGCCATGTATTCTGCAAGTATTAAGTGCTCAATGGGTTTTTTTGTTGTTGTTGTTATTGAATCACTGAATAAATGAACTAGTGGTGGTGTTTTTTTTTTTTTTTTTTTTTTTTTTGTTTTTTACTAGAGCTAGTGAGAAAAGAGAATCAGCAGGCCTAGTAGATCAATGGGGTGACAGAAACAGCAATCAAATCAAGAGATTCAAGGAGAGTGTCAAGAGTCCACATGTTAAGTGTTCTTATTACAAAAACAAACCACAAAGGGACACAAAGAAACTTTTAGAGGTGTTGGCAATTACCTTGATTGTGGCGATGGTTTTACAGGTATTTATATATGTCCAAATTCATCAAATTGTATGTATTAAATAGGTACAGATTATTGTATATCAGTTATACCTCAATAAAGCTTTAAAACAAACACAGATATAAATCTTGCATGCACAGATGGAATAAATAGAGTCCACAGTGATAATCACTCCTTCCGTTCACATTTCTTCCTGAGAACGTCTGTGAGTCCCGTGCAATGGCAGGTTAGGTGTTTCACTTGCTCAAAGATCTGTTTTCCTTATGGGACCTGTGAGTCTGGCTCTATACTTCATGAAGAGCATTTGAGATGCCTATTAAACATCCAGGTGGAAAGAGGAAGGAGTATTGGAAATCTAATCTTGGAATTCAGAAGCAAAGTCTGAACTAGTGCTATAAATATTGACATCATCACCATGGAGATAATAAAAGAGACTGAAAAGGGATGGTCAGAAATGTAGGAATAAAATCAGGAGGCGTGGTGGTGATCAACTGTGTTGATGCAGCTGATAAGTATGATAAGAATGAGGAATTAACCCATCACATGAGTATTGAATTTTGATTTAATTATGTTCAAAGAATCTCTTTGCTATTTTCAAGTTTGAAGAACTCCTACGTTCTTAATGAAATCTTTGGGAAAACTGAGTGAAAAGTCATGCTTGCTTTTCCTCTAAAAGCCTCAAGGGAGTTGTGTACTATAATAAATCCACAGAGTTGATGCTGATTTCCATCTCCACACAGCCTCGCAATCCAGCACCCTTTCCTAGTTTCCATTTGGTGAGATCAATCCACAAAGATAGTGCTGACATTCTACATATTGTTGATAGGCTTATAACAATAAAATCAATATAGAAACTATTTCCCTATTGGCTCTCTAAATAGCTTTTTAGTGAAAAGAATATATGTAACTATTATTTTTGGAAGAGAAGCCTTTCTTTTATGACTTTTGCCATTTCATCTGCCTCCATTATTTTCAGAGGAAGAAAATCTAAGTTATAAAACTCTCCTCTGTTCTTTGATGCATAAAAATAAAGTTTAAAAATGGCTCTGTCATTTTATGGCAATGTGTGTTTGTTTAATCTTACCTTGTTGGTTGCTTTGAGAGAGAAATTAAGTGAAAAGATCACCTAGCAAGGTTCTTGAACATGGCAGAAGCTCAACATCTGTCATTTCCTTTCCCATTTTCTTTTCTGAAGCTTATGATCCTCATTTATAAAATGAAGGTGATAATTTTTTGTTTTCAGAAAATTCACACAAAAGTAAATTACCTCAAAGATAAATACGAAAAAATCCATTCAACCTATTTAGGAATAAGAAGACTGAATTTAAAACAGTGTCATATCTCTTTAAAAATCTTTTAAAAGAGCAAAGATATTTAATAAAATCAGTCAATGTTAGGGAAAGTGGAATATCTGCTACTAAGAATGTGCACTTGTGAAAAGTTTGTGCATGATTGGGTAGAGAGGCAGAGGGGTTCCGCAACAAAGGGAGGTGTAAGAGAAATTCAAAAACATTCATACTTTACAACTCAATAGCACCACATCATGGACTTTCAAAGAAATTAAACTTGTTAGACACAAATACAAATACTTTAAAATCTGACAACAGAAAATAGTTAACTGACTCATGGTGTATCTAAACCATGCAATATTTTGTAGCAAATAAATATGTATGCACAGACACTATAATGACCACAAACTGGTGAGAATGTATAATGATGGAACTACTTTGGAAAATAGTCTGATGATTCCAAAAAATGTTAAGCATACAGTTACCATATGACCCAATTGCTCATAGGAGCAATTCTACTCCTATGAGAATGAAAATGTGTCCACACAGAAATATGTACACAAATATTTATACCAGCATTTACTTATAGTAGCAAAAAGAGTGCAAACAATTCAAATGTCCATCAACTAATGAATAGATAAACAGACTGTGGTATAAACATGCAATGAAATAATTATTTGACAATAAAAAGGAATGAAATAGGCAGGGTGCAGTAGCGCAGACCTGTAATCCCAGCACTTTGGGAGGCCAAGGCAGGCAGATCACTTGCGGTCAGGAGTTTCAGACCAGCCTGGCCAACATGGCTAAACCCTGTCTCTTCTAAAAATACAAAAAATTAGCTGGGTGTGGTGGCACACGTTTATAATCCCAGCTACTTGGGAAGCTGAGGCAAGAGTATCACTTGAACCTGGGAGGCAGAAGTTGCAGGGAGCCAAGATCGTGCCACTGTACTCCAGCCTGTGTGACAGAGTGAGACTCTATCAAAAAACTAAAAAAAGGAATGAAATTCTGATACATGAAACAACACGGATGAACCTTTAAAAGACTATGCTAGGTAAAATAAATCAATCAACCCACATAATTGCATCATTCCATTTACATGAAGTGTCCAGAACACACGTATCCATATCCATAGAGCAAGTAGATTAGTGTCTGCTTATAGTGTTGTGGGGAAAGGGAGAATGACTGCTAGTGAATATGGAGTTTCTTTTTGGGAGGTGACAAAAATCTTTTTGAACTGATTATATTAATGGTTGCACAACTGAATATGCTAAAAAATCACTAATTTGTACACTTTAAATAGATGAATCATATGATGTACAAATTAAATCTTGATAAAGCTGTTCTATAAATATGACTGAAGAACTTTTAATAACAGGATCAAACACTGATATCTGCTATGAACAATCATTAAAGTGGGATTCAAAAAATTTATATGAAACATACAACTATGTAGAAATATACACAGAAAAAAAGAGTACAAGCTTCTGAGTATCTTTAAAAGGCATACATTTGGAGAAAATGGAAGAGGAAATAACATTTTGGAAACTGGAAAGCAAATGAGCACATGCTCACTGCAAATCAGAGCAGGTGGACTCCTGTGTTGAGAACCAACCAGAATCCTCAAGTCTCAGGAATTGGCACCAGGTACCTCTGAAAATGGGACAAACAATAGGATTTGTTGAAAGCTTCTGAGGAAACAGATCCTAGATCCTCTTCTCTTCTTCACTCCACCAGCTGACTGTCCTTCTCCTACTCTGGTGAAAACAGGAGGTTCATACTACAGAGATGACAAGATAGAGGGGATCTGGGCTACCTTAGAGGATATCAGGCTTAACTGAAGAATGAGTATCACAAAAACACACATGGATTTTGTAATTCTGTACTTTGAAATTCTGAAATGCTCCAGCCAGCTTTCTCCACTCAACACACAGAACACTAGCAGTCAGGCCTTTACCTTCAGATGAGAGATGAAAGAGCCTTCTTTGGGGCATCTGATCAATCCAAAAGAACAGCCCTAAACATAGTGACATGGGCCCAAGCAAAGCACCCTAAAGAAAAGCTCATGTTCAATCAGTTCCACCCATACGCTAAGACTACCAAACAGCTATTTAGACCCCCACTCTTAAACATGATCAGACAATCAAGTATAACCAGATAATTGAGTGTATCCTTTAACATGAATGTTAGAAACAAATATAAAGAGACAAAAAAAAACCCTAGAAGAAAAGGGGTCTATAGTGAAGAAATTAAATAAGATAATGCCAGCTGTACAAAATCAAAACCACATAGAACAATGGCTTAAATTCCAAAATGGGAGTTCCTGATTAGTAGGCAACTTTTCTCCAAGTATTGATTTAGGGGTGAAAGTTCCTTTCACTTTTTGAAAATTTGTAATTGCATTTCTTAGTGGATTCCCAAAAATGATAGCCATGCTGAGAAAAACCAACATTAACCCTTATTTATCTAGAAAAAAAAACTAAAGAAGAGATACAAGATAATTGTTCATCCCCAAATTGTTCAAGAAAACTAATCAGGCTAGGCGCGGTGACTCATGCCTATAATTCCAGCTCTTTGGGAGGCCCAGGTGGGCAGATCACCTGAGGCCAGGAGTTCCAGACTAGCATAGGCAACATGGCAAAACCTTGTCTCTACATAGAAAAAATTAGCCAGGCATGGTGGCAGCCATGTGTAATCTGAGCTACTTGGGAGGCTGAGGCAGGAGAATCACTTGAACTCGGGATGTGGAGGTTGCAGTGAGCCAAGATCACCATTGCAATCCAGCCAGGCTGACAACAGTTAAACTCTGTCTCAAGAAAAGAAGAAAGAAAGAAAAAAGACTAACCATAGTATGCCATATATCTCAGCTTTGAATCTCATCTCCAAATACCGTGTGCAATATAATAATGTAAGCACACCATGTTAATCAACCAAAATCTCTGTTGAGAAGATGGGAGATGAGATATATACATATACATGGCAGAGGGGCAGAGCTTAACTTCTCTGCCATTTTCCATAATGGGAAGTCCATAGACA